AACTAGCCACTTCGGTGGCAAAATCTAATCTATGATATAGGATGTTAGCGTTATTGGTCCGTAATTCTTTGCTATTGCTTTACTGCCCCTTTTGTGGAGTGGGGCTATGTCTGTTGTTTTAAGTGACTGTGGGATGACCCCTGTGTCCATGCTCCATAGAATGCTAAAGGCACGTGACAGGGGTTTGCAGTTTTCTTTTATGATGACGGAGTTCCACGAGTCTGGGCCTGGGGCAGAGTGCATGGGCATGTCATTTTTATCGAAATCACGTGGTGTTAGTATAATAACAGAGATGTTTGAATTGACCAGATTCTGTGTCTCGGTCATAAAAAAAAATAATTTAGGTTGTTGACTCTTGGTCTGGTTAGTGGCTCACCAAACACCGAGTCACACTGGGCCTTTAGCATCTCACTCATTTCCTTACTGTCATCTGTAGGTCCCATCTCGTTTAAGCAGGGGTCCCATACTGGATGTTGTTTTCGCCTTAGATTTGGTATAAGAAAAGAAATATTTTGGGTATCTTTTAGTTTCATTTATGGCTTTTAGTTCGTCTTGAGTTTCTTGTCTCCTGTATGATTCCTTAAGCTTAAGTTCGATATTTGCTGTCTCTGCCCAGTGCCTCCCTTCGTAATTCAGATATACTGGCCCCTTTTAACAGCTCTGTGATTCTTCACCTACGCTTGTTTAGGGAGCGTCTCTCTCTCTTTCTAGTTTACACCTTCTCTTCTTTTTTTTCGTAAAGGAATGTGCCTAGAGTATACCTCAAGTGTGCATACATGTCTGTACCTCAATTATGTTGTGATTTGAGTGTAAGTTTCTTGCATGTGCTTACCTGGTGGGTGTTCCAGGGGCCAATGCCCTTGCAGCCCGGTTCATGACCAGGCCTCATGGTGGATCAGGGTCTGAACAACCTGGCTGTTACTGCTGGCCGCATGCTATCCAACATACGAATGCAGGTAAGAAAGATGCATGAAAATATGCACTTGGAAAATCCTAGAGGGACTAGTCCCAAATCTACACAGCGGTACAACACCCCCACCCAATGAAAAGCAAGGGCTGTGGCTCGTACGTTGGTTTGCGTGCAGCCAGCAGTAACAGCCTGGTTGATCAGGCTCTGATCCACCAGGAGGCCTGGTCACAGACCGGGCCGCGGGGGCGTTGACCCCCGGAACTCTCTCCAGGTAAACTCCAGGTAAGAGACAATACAGTAAGTGTCAGGGGCCCAAGACTTTTCAATTGCCTCCCAGCATATATAAGGGGGGATTATCAATAGACCCCTGGTTGTTCTTAAGAGGGTACTGGACAGACGCCTAAAGTCAGTACCTGACGAGCCTGGCTGTGGTTCGTACGTCGGTCTGCGTGCGGCCAGCAGTAACAGCCTGGTTTATCAGGCCCTGATCCACCGGGAGGCCTGGTTATGGACCAGGCCGCGGGGGCGTTGACCCTTGAAATGCCCTTCAGTTATATCTGGAGGGTGTTTCGGGGGTCAACGCCACGGTTCGGTCAATGACCAGGCCTAGCGGTGGATCAGGGCCTGATCAACTTTTCTGTTACTGCTGGCCACACGTAAACCAATGTACGAACCACAGCCCGGCTGGTCAGGTACTGACTTTATGTGTCTGTCCAGCTTCCTAGTTTATGTGCACACAACTGCAAGTGTATTCACATAGGGAATGTACATATAATTGTGAGTGTACTCATTTAGTGTATGTGAACACAATTGCATGAGTGTTCACATAATGAATGTGTGGATCATTATGAGTGTATTCACCTAGTGAACATGCACACAATTGCAAGTGTATTCACATAGTGAATATGCGCGTCATTGTGAGTGCACTCATTTAGTGAATGTGCACATAACTGCAAGTTTATTCACATAATGCATGTGCATTGTGTGAATATTAACCTTGACCTAAAATGCATTCTTGATAGTTGTGACAGGATCCACAGGCATAACACCAGACACAAACATCTTTATGACATTCCCCGTGTTCGACTAAACCTTTACAAAAATTCAGTGTATTTCAAAGGCCCTAAAATCTGGAACACCCTACCTGAAAACACTAGAACGGCAGACACATTCATCACTTTCAAAATTACAGTTAGAAAACATCTTATCTCCCTGATCCACCCCGACAACTAACTACATGATAACCACCTGGTGGTTCACAATTACACTCACTCACCCACTGACTATAAACACAGAAATACTAATCTTAATCTTAAAATAATAAATCCTAACTAGTCATAAGTTTGCCTATGATACTCCAATATAGACACTTTGTATTGTGCCAAAACAAAAGCATTCACATTGCTAAACTCACAAATTATGATGTAGTCACTTAGCCTTATTACCATAATCTGTAAGGATTTAATGTTAAGAATTAATCTAAGTCTGCTCGAAATGCCTAGCCAGGCTAGGTGTTCTAGTGGTCCCCTCTGTAATTAGTATTTTATAACATGTAAACCACACAATACCCAAAACCTGTAAACCCCACATTGTAACCCTTATAGAGAATACATAAAGGTGGTGACCCTACAGATTTAAACAACTATAGGCCAATATCAAACTTACCATTGCTATCCAAAATCTTTGAGAAACTCGTGCACGGGAGACTATCTTAATTTATATCGGCACAAAACATACTCAACCCCTGCCAATTTGGATTCAGGAAAAATAAAAGCACTAACGATGCAATCATAAAAATGCTAGATCTGCTTTACACAGCATTTGAAAATAAGAAATATCCACTAGGAATTTTTATTGACCTAAGAAAAGCTTTTGGCTCAGTAGACCACGGCATCCTACTCCACAAACTTGACCATTATGGTATAAGAGGCCATGCGCTTGCATATTTCAAAAGCCTGAGCTTGCTACCGTCTGCAGCTCATAAGACTGCCATCCCCACGAGCCCCTTTGAGGCGGGGTAGATGGCAGACCAGAGGCCTAGCTTCTCCCTACGAGCCCCGTGAGGGCGGGGAATGTGGCTAGGCCTGGGGACACTTGGTCCCAAAGATGAGGAGGTACTTGTACCTCCTCCCATGGGAGACTTAAGTCTCGAGACACTCCCCAGATAGGGAGCCAAGGCCGGGTCACCACTACTTGGAAAAGACCCGGGCCGGGAGAATACCGGCGAATAAAAAAAAAAAAAAAAAAAAACATATTTCAAATTTTACCTTACTAATAGGTATCAGTATGTCACCATTAAAGACACAGCATCAACAACACAGCCACATGATACTGGAGTTCCGCAGGGAAGTGTCCTTGGTCCCCTGCTCTTCCTCATATACATCAATGATCTTCCAAACGTATCTCATCACCTGAACCCCATTCTCTTTGCTGACGACACGACTTATGTCATCTCTCACCCTAATCTTGCCACCCTCAACACCATTGTTAATGAGGAGCTGATCAAAATATCGACTTGGATGACAGCCAATAAACTTACGCGCAGGAGATGCGCAAATTAACATTAAGATCGACAACACTCTAATTGCCAGGCATAATGAGGGCAAATTCCTAGGCCTATACCTCGACAACAACCTGAACTTCAGCACCCATATCCAACACATAACCAAAAAAATATCCAAAACGGTTGGGATCCTCTCCAAGATACGATACTACGTGCCGCAAACTGCCCTTCTCACACTATACCATTCACTTATATATCCATACCTCACCTATGCTATCTGTGCTTGGGGTTCAACTGCAGCAACACACCTAAAGCCAATAATAACCCAACAAAAAGCCGCAGTAAGAATAATCACTAAATCCCATCCCTGGCAACACCCCCCCCCCACTCTTCATAGATCTAAACTTACTCCCTGTTCAGTACATCCACACTTACTACTGTGCAATCTACATCTACAGGACCTTAAATTCCAATATTAACCTTGAACTAAAACGCTTTCTTTCAAATTCAAATTCAAATTCAAAGTTTATTCTCTATAAGGATTACAATGCTGAGTTTACAGAAATTTGGTTATTGTGTGGTTTACATGTTGTAAAATAGTGATTACAGAGTGTACCACTAGAACGCTTAGCATGGCTAGGCATTTCGGGCAGACTTAGTTTTATTCTTAATTGTAAAATATTACAAATTATGAGGTAAGTTGGTATTATGGCTAAGTGACTAAATACTAGTTGATAGTTGTGACAGAACCCACAGGCACAACACCAGACAAACATCTCTATGACATTCTCCGTGTCCGACTAAACCTTTACAAAAATTCAATGTATGTCAAAGGATCTAAAATCTGGAACACCCTACCTGAAAATTCTAAAACTGCAGACACATTCATCACCTTCAAAACTACCATCAGAAAACATCTTATCTCCCTGATACACCCTGTCAACTAATTACACGAATACCTCCTGGTGGTTCACACTTACACTCACTCACCCATTTGACCATAAACAGAAATATCAATCTCAATCTCAAAATAATGAATCCTAACTAGTCATAAGTTGGCCTGTGATACTCCAATACTGAAACTATGTATAGTGCCAAAACAAAAGCATTCACATTGCTAAACTCACAAACTAGTATTTAGTCACTTAGCCATAATACCAACTTACCTTATAATTTTGTAATATTTTAAACTTAAGATTTAATTTAAGTCTGCCCGAAATGCCTAGCCATGCTAGGTGTTCTAGTGGTACACTCTGTAATTATTATTTTACTACATGTAAACCACACAATAACCAAATTCTGTAAGCTCAGCATTGTAATCCTTACAGAGAATAAACTTTGAATTTGAATTTGAATTTGAATAAACTTGAATTGAATTGAATTGAATTGAATTTAACATTGGCGCCAAGACTTGAATGAACCAGTGGGAAGGCGGTGGCTCTGATTGGCCCATTTCCTGCAACGTTAAATATTCGCTATAAAATCCAGAATATTCTGCATCAAAGACTATTATCAGGATATTTATTAATTTAATAGATTGTTAAAAATCCTGTGAATTTTTTAATTTTTACTCGCTATGTAATTAGCGGAGAAAGTATTATTTTGCCTGGGGATGCTGATAATATATGAGTGTTTTGTTTCCACCGTCGGCAGTCTTACTGTTATTTGGAGAAGGACGATTGTTTTGTTATTGAACAAACACTGGCATCTACGAGTACTCATTGTGAGTAATGGCTTGCACGGAGTTGTGGTGGTGTTGTGAACAGTGTGTGTAGTGTAAGTGACAAGGGGTGGAGGTTGTAGCTGAGGTAGAGGTAGAGGAAAAAAGAGGCCGAAGTGGGGGTTTGTGGTGGTGGCGTCGGCAGCAGTGGCGCCGCGCCATCATCACTCCATCAGCACCACCATCCTGGATACTCTGATACCTCTCTGGCTTCATGTATTCCACTCTACCCTTGTCTCGCCTATTCTTAGTTCACTCACACTTCACTTCAACATTATCCACTGTTGTCTCACCACAATACAAAAAACTAATAGATTTGGGAGTGTGTACATTCCAATTTATTATATATTATATGACTTCCTAGTAAAGAAAAGCACATGTGTCCTCATCTGATAGTATATAACGTTCAGTGTTTATTACCAGTTGAGACACTGAAGCTGTAGTTGGAGATTCATTGTAGTGTTATTCTAGAGTTATGTTACACATGTTAATAAAGAAATCAATTGTAAAAATCTAAACATGTAATGAACGTGATTATAAACTAAGTTTTTATTTAGGCTTCGTATGTCCATAGTTTTAAGCTTAATTTTTTTTTTGTATAGTACATTGTGTAGAATTTCACTGAGAATAACCCAATAGTCAAACAGTGTGACTTCCACTTTCCACCACTGTTATTGCAGTGCAGTGACCAGGCCATTCCTCAATCTGATATAATATTTATTTAAGCATCGTGAAGGTTTTAGAACTCTCTGCATTTCAATTTTTAGTTGAATACTTTGGCTCAAGATAACTTTTTTTTTTTTTCATCATGACAAAATTGGCAGCTAATTTTATGGCCACCTTGGCACTTCCATGACAGAATTATATTTTTATTAGGTACTAGCATGGAATGAAATAAATTTTGCTTCACTAGCTTAATTTGACTTTTGATTCATTCATCCCTTTAGTTAAAAATACATTGGTTTGACCTTAGCTACCATGTTGAGTTCATTGTTATGAAAATCTCCCATGCACAGTGAACTGGCTTGTTGAAATAGCTATGGTTGGTACTTTTGTGGTTATCATGGAAAATTATTCTATTTCTGTTTTATAGTAATTACAGATTATTGATTATCTGCTCCCTTTTGGGGCGAGGGTTCACCACACTTTTTTAACACTGAGATGATCACATTTTTGTATGGTCTCTTTGTTGTACATTATTTTTTACATTGTTTTGGTGATAGATTGAACAGAACTAGATAATGTTAGTTATTGAATAACTGAGCCCCAGATAATCAATCTATATTTTCATGGTAGGTGTGAGAGTATCACACACCTCAAGGACCCCAATGGAAATAAGTTGCTTTATCTGATGTTTTTGGGTTATCCTAGGTAATCTACAGATGCTGCTATATATGATAATGTATGTAACTGTATTTATGTGTACCTGTACCTGAATAAACTTACACAGTGGCCATGCCTTTCCTCTTTTATTTAGCTTAGTGTGATAGCAGTTATGTGTGTTCTGCATTGTTCTTGCTAGTTGTTTTTCTTCATTAATTTTGATTTTCTTTTATTTATTTTTAGTGCTAAAAGTACTGTGTGAGACATGGTCAAAGCACTCAAGTTTCAAAAGTACATACATTAGTGGCCACTGCTATTTCAATGGTTGTGGCCCTATGGTGGGTGGGTGCGTGCCAAGGCTTTATGATTGTCGGTTCAACAGATTTTTTTTTTCTCGTAATGAGGACTGAGACTCAAATCATTTAGAAAAGCATACTCTAGTTTAATTTTTTCATGATGCAGATGTAGTAGCTAGTCCTATTGAAAGGGTTGAGTGTGGACTGGTAAGGCTTAGATTTAATTAGATTTTTATATTGTTTGTTACACTTAGCAGTGTTATTTTGTATCTTCTATGAATATAGTCTGTATAGCCCTTGTGGCTTAGCGCTTCTTTTTGATTATAATAATAATAATAATATGAATATAGCGCCAATCATTACTTGATCACCATTATACAACACAGTACTTAAAATTCCTGTATGGTTTTAAGAGCAGAACTTAACCCTTAAACTGTCCAAACGTAGATCTATGTTTTTTCAACATTTGAAAGTATGTAAAAAAATGTAGATCTTCTTTTTGTTTTTTTACATTTGAAAACATGTAAAAAAACTTTGATCTATGTTTTTTTTTTTTTTGTTATATTTGAAAATATGTAAAACAAATGTAGATCTACTTTTGGAGCACTACACATGTGAACATAGATCTGTATGGACAGTTTAAGGGTTAAACAGATTCCTCACAATTTTCTGTTAAATTATATTGGTCTGATATAAATTATCCATATTGGTAATATATTGGTACCCCGAGTTTCGAACTTTTTTCATTCCAGAAGGCTGTTCAAGTGCCATTACCGAATTAATTTATTCCCATAAGGAATAATGTAAATTAAATTAGTCCATTTCAGACCCCCAAAAATACACTTACAAAAGCACTGACAGTAATACATTTACATAATTGGTAGAGTTGGGAGCAGTTCGAAACTCAGGGTACCACTGTATATTTCACGTTATATTGGAAAAATCATGTATCATTTATAAGTACAAGAGAGGCATGTATGTACACTATTTATTTTAAGACATTTAAAATAATTTGCTGGAGAAACCTACAATGTGGCCATTATATACGAACTCAGCATCAAGGAGCAGGAGACTCAGCTTAGAATATCAGTAGTCAGTTGTATTGATAAGAACTGGAAAAATCTTCACCTCTCATGTTGACTTGGAAACATGTACTCTACAGTGGGGATGCTGAAAAAGCTAAAATGTCTTAATAACCCTTGAGGATTATGAAGCAAGATAAAAGAAACTGCTAATAAAAACCATATAAACTATCTGGGAAAACACCTCATAGTTGCTATTTTAACCCTTTCAGGGTCGACAGGCCCTCTCCCAGACTTGTTCTCAGGGTCGACAAATTTAAAAAAAAAAATTATTTTCATATGAAAAGATAGAGAATCTTTTCCCGATCATAATGATACCAAAAGTATGAAATTTGATGGAAAACTTACGGAATTATGCTCTTGCGATGTTAGAGGTCCCGACTATGTTTATGCATCGGCGATTTTGCCCACTTTGAGCTCTATTTTCGGCCAATTCCAGTGTACTAGTCGACAAAAATCATAACTATTTTGCTAGAACTCCATTTTTTTTCTGTCGAGTGAGTACAAGAAACCACCCATTTATCGATTTCAACCATGCAATAAAGTGGTCAGAATTTAGCAATTTTGCCAATTTCACACATATTTCAAAAGATGCCAATTTCCAAATAGGGTCCAGAATAAACAAAGACATTCCTGACACTAAAATAACATTTCCTCTGTTCATTAGTCACGTCCCCACGCCCCTCTTACATTCTTTTGCTTTCCATTTTGAATTTTTATTCTCACAAAAAATAGAAGATTTACTGTTATGCAGACTACTGCATTAGTGTAGAAATGGTATAAATAATATCAGCGCACTTGTGAAAGAATATTAGACTCGCCAGTTGACGTGTATTGGATGCGTAGCATGATTTGTTTACTTTTGAACTTTGGTAAAAATTGAAGATTTCTGCTACTTTGAGCTCAATTTCAAGGTACTTTTCATTGTAAAACTAGTCAAAATCATCTCAATTTCTTTCATGTCTTCCATTCTATAAAATGAGACCAGGAAAACTAAAATACCATCATAAAAACCTTACGAAAATACAGTGCAAAGTCGCTGTTTTAAACCAAAAGCACTGTCAAAGATTTTTTTTCTCATTACGCACTGTGTGCTGCAGGATTTTTTTTTATACTGCTCACACTGACCACATAGACCCATTCTTTCATATGTAGGCCTACCAGCTTTCTCTCGCTAGATTTGAGGGCGCTAGAATTTAGGCGTACTAGTTCGTCAAAAACCCTGGTGCGTAAGCTGTACTAGTACGTCGGAAACCCTGAAAGTGTTAAACCAAACACATGGTCAATATTTTGCTTTTCCCATCATGCAGCACATGGGTCAAGCTTTTTTTATGCTGTGCATACTTGGTGCACAGACCCATTCTTTTATATTGAGGCCAAAATTTACTACTTGAAGCATATCTGAGTGAGTTGAGCTCATGATGTAGAACTGCGAGAGGGACTTTGACATCAGTGATGTAGCTGTGTGTGACAGCCACTGAAAAGTTTAAGTAAACCAGAGCTTTTCAACAGCCACACCAGAAAAATTATGGTAAAATGGAAGATGATAATGCTGAAGAAGGATAGGAATCTACTTATAGAAATGATAACCTAGTATGCAAAGAGCTTAAAACAGTTGGTGTTCATGTCCGAAATAAGACAAAGAAAACCCACGGAACTGCCAAACATTGCAGTACATGAAATACTAATGAGACTGAGAGAATAAAAGGTCTCAAAACTGTGGCTGGAACAATGCATGAATAGCCTGAACTTAGGAGACAAACTTTTGAAGACATTTTTGGTCCAACTTGTTAGTCTAAGTTGGACTGAAACAGCATCATAAGTTTCAGTCTCCTAAGTGTGGGTTGTTCATGTACGAGATTGAGAGAACCAGTTGCATAAATACCAGTGAGACCTGACAGGATATCTTGGATTGAAAGAGGGAGCTGGGGTCTTTAGTAAGCGGCTTTGTCTTGTTTTGAGCAAAACATTAGACAGTGTAACTACCATGAAAGAAAAAGGCTCAGCAGGAGATGTAACGTTCCCCTGATGAAAAGTAGGGGCGCCACGTGTACGTTGAGAGAACACAATAGGTGTCCAGGGCCCAAGACTGTTCAGCTGCCTCTCAGCATACATAAGGCACTGGACAGGCACCTAAAGTCAGTACCTGACCAACTGGGCGGGCTGTTTGTAAGTCAGCTTGTGTGCAGCCAACAGTAACAGCCAGGTTGATCAGACCCTGATCCACGTTGAGGCCTGGTCTCAGACCGAGCCCCGGGGGTGTTGACCCCCGAAACCCTCTCCAGGTAAACTCCAGGACATCTGAAACATTTAAACATTTAAAAAATGGAAATTAGAAATCATATGCTAACATTTTTGCATTTGTGATTACAAAAAAAATAGTTATACTGTACTACATTTTTATGCAATATTTGTTATCCTGTTTTTGTTTTGGTACTGTACATGATGCATAGGAGGAAAATACTGTATTGGTTAATGAATCTTGCATTATTTAAGAATTTGCTCTTTTATTTGTTGGTTAATTGTGTACTTTTTATGAATTCCAGATCTAACAGAATGCCACCTGTTGAAATTCAGTGGTGCGACCATTCCTCGGTGCTTTTAGAGTACCTGCGCCAACTGTATGAAGAAGGTCGCTTTGTTGATGTTGGTTTAGAATGCGAGGGTCGCCAAGTCAAAGCTCACAAGGCTGTTATTTCTGCATGTAGTCCTTATTTGGAGGTAAGCATAATTTTGCATTTCTGGTTAAAAAAATGCAATGTATTTTTTAGTAAGCTGGTACAGCTACACTTAGTAGCCAAATACTGCAACATGCAAAATATATTAGTACAGGTTGGCCATCACTAATCCGACAATTAGTAATCTGGTTCCATCAGTAATCCGGCACTAATTTCGGCTAGCATAATTTCAAGTTTCCAGGGTCGCCACACCAACCTGCTGCTACTGTTTGGTGGCACTACTTGCTACATAAGTCATTCCAATTTCTTTTTCTCCATTTATTGATATCTGCTCACTTTTAGTCATAGCCATGGTTCCAGTGAATAAAAGAAATGCTTCTCGTTGTGTAAAGCACATACACCATGCATTGCCCATAAAAGATAAGGTGGCTTTGAAGCCGTTGTTGGTTGCCATGAGCTCAGCTCACTCAGATAAGCTGTGACTGGTAAATTTAGGTGTACATATGAGAGAATAGGTCTGTGTGGTAGGTGTGCACTATGTAAAAAATTCTTGCAGCAGGCATTACATAAAAAAAACTGTGACCATGTTTTCGGTGTAAAACAGTGACTTTGTGGTGTATTTCCATATGGTTTTTGTGATTGTATTCTCATTTTTTTGGTCCCATTTGATAGACTGGATGATGTTACAGAAATAGATACACCTACCATCCGATTTACGACCACGTTTTTTTATGCCAAATTTCTGGGAAATAAGCAACTGTTTGTGTTGTACAGTGTTTATCCTAAACCTTACAGTATAAAATACAGTACTAACAGCATAAAAAGTAAAGGAAAAAATGAAATACCAAAATAAAACAGTAAAATAAAATCATTACAAAAGTGTGATGTAGATATTCAGTAGTAAGGTTTGACTTAAGTCCATTTTGACTTATGACCGGTTGGTCGGAACCGAGCTTGGTTGTAAGTCGGATGGTACCTGTACAATTTTGATTGGTTTCATGACAGAAAGTACCTTGAAATTGAGCTCAAAGTAGTGGAAATGTTCAGTTTATGCCGATGTTCAAGAGTAAACAAATGACATCGTCCAGTACATGTCCAACTGGCCCATCTAATGTGCACTCACGAATAGGTTGACATTATTTATTGCTGCACACTAACAGCACCTTTCAAGGCAGGTGAAATTGCTGACCTAGAAAATGCACAGAGAACCTTCACGGCACGCATAACAGATAAAATACCTCAATTACTGGGAGCGCTTGAAGTTCCAGAACCTGTACTCCCTGGAACTCAGGCGGGAGAGATACATGATTATATACACCTGGAAAATTCTAGAGGGACTAACACCGAACTTGCACTTGAAAATCACTCGCTACAAAAGCAAAAGACTCGACAGACGATGCAACATCCCCCCAGTGAAAAGCAGGGGTGTCACTAGCACGTTAAGAGACAGCACAATAAGTGTCAGGGGCCTGAGACTGTTCAACTGCCTCCCAGCATACATAAGGGGGATTACCAATAGACCCCTGGCTGTCTTCAAGCAGGCACTGGACAAGCACCTAAAGTCGGTACCTGACCAGCCGGGCTGTGGCTCGTACGTTGGATTGCGTGCAGCCAGCAGTAACAGCCTGGTTGATCAGGCTCTGATCCACCATGAGGCCTGGTCACAAACTGGGCTGCGGGGGCGTTGACCCCTGAAACACTCTCCAGGTAAACTCCAGGTAAACAACTTACAATAATGCAGTAGCGTGCATAACTTTTATTTTCATGTGAATAAAAATTCAAAATGGAAAGCAAATGTAATATAAAAGGGGGCTGGATATGTGACTAATGAACAGAGAAAATGTTATTTTAGTGTCAGGAGTGTCTGCATTGTTTATTCTGAACCCTATTTGGAAATTGGCATATCTTGAAATTTGTGTAAAATTGGCCAAATTGCCGATTTCTGACCACTTTATTGGGTAGTTGAAATAGATAAATGGGCGGTTTCTTGTACTCAGTCGACGGAATAGGAGAAATACTAGCAAAATATCTGAGTTTGGTAGATTGGAACAATGAAATGGGCCAAAAATAGGGTGTAAAGTGGGTGAAATCGCTGATTTCACCCATTCGGTTTAGTTTATTCTAACCTAACCACTGCAATCTGGTAAAAATCACTAATCTGGCACCCTATGGGTCCCAATGATGCTGGATTAGTGATGGTCAACCTGTATCATATTTGAAGGCACTGGTACACTAGTTGATACAGTTAGGCATTAAATAAATAAGTTTATTTAGGTATACACAAATACAGTTACGTAGATTATCATACATAGCAGCATGTGTGTAAAGTACCTAGGATAACCCAAAAAAGTCAGACAGTGATTTATTTCCATTGGGGTCCTTTTACCTTATTATTATAATATAATAGTGATAATGTCTTATTACTCTGTAAAGGAGATAACATCTTATTATCATACTGTTAAGACTATTTACTACATGAGGGTCATTAAGACTATCTACAATACGAGGGTCATTACTAGGAATAAAGTAAAAGCACACATGTGTTAGCTAAAAATAAAAAAATATTCCCCTCCCTTTCTGTCACTACATTTATCAGGCACCTTTTGGCTCTCTTCTTGAACTGGTTCATACTATGACTGGCCATTACATGTGTGGACAGTCTGTTCCATTCCTTTATTGCTGTACAATAAAAGGTTTGAAGCCTGGCCACTAACTGGGTACTACAAAGTTGTGCTCTCTCCCCCTAGTACTATGATTGCTTTGGTTCCCAGCCTTGACAAAATTGGCAGCAAGATATTCTGGACACTGTGAGCAATTTTATAAACATGATTTAGCTTCAGTTGTTTTACTCTGTCTCCAACATTCAGCATATCCAACTGCTGTAATTCATCCTGGCCTATATAATAAGACATTACAAGGACGCCAATGGAAATAAGTTACAATTTTGGGGTTATTCTAGGTATTCTATACATGTTACTAGATAGGATAATTGTACTTATGTGTATTTGTGCCTAGTAAACTTGCTTACTTATGCAGTGGACCCCCGCCATTCGGCGGCCATGACTCGTGAAATCCAACTTTCGGCAAGTTTTTTCGGCAAAATTTAGCTTCATGGTTTGTGATTAGACTCGTGATTCGGCGACCTGGTACGCATCTGCCCGTCAGCGCACACACAAAGCCAGTCTCCCGCACTATTCACACTCAAGTGTGAAATTGTTTACCAGCATGTGACCATCACCCCACGCGTTCATACAACACATTTCATAATATAATTCATTGTTTTTTGTGCTTGCAACTGCTATTTAAGCCACCATGGGCCCAAAGAAAGCTCCTAGTGCCAGCCCTTTGGTAAAGAAGGTGAGAAACACGATAGAATTCAAGAAAAAACTCAGAGCAAAGTACTAAAGTAGAGGAGGAAGAGAGAGGGGAGAATGTGCCTTCTGCAGTGATTTAGTGATTCTACAATATGTATGATACTAAAGCAGCAGGTATCGATGAAGGCTATAGCTCCAGCCAGTGATAAAGTGTAGAATTAACAGTGTAGCAAGTAAGTTCAGCGAGTAAGCGTTAGAAAAACATGAGAGTAACTCTCCAATGTTGTTGGATGTGTATAGGACCGCTGAACATACACCGCCGTGCTATCTTCCACCACCCTAAACCTCTGCCAACATCTCCTTCATCAAACTAACTAATTAAACTAACATCTCCTCCAAGGTAAGTGTAAATATAAAAATGTAAATATAAAAGGACACCAATGGATATATGTCACTCTTGAATTTTTTGGGTTATCCTGGGTACTTTACATATATGCTGCTATGTATAATAATCTATGTATGTAACTGTATTTGTGTATACCTGAATAAACTTACTTACTTTATAAATTAAAATGTAAATATTTCTTATTTATAAATTACATACATTGTTTAAGTGTGATGGTGGTGCTGGCAGAAGCCTCCACTGCCACTGACATGGCTTCTCTCAGTGGTGGTCCTTAAACCCAACAACAACACTTACACCATTTACTCCTCTCATACATTATGACTTATTTTATTCATTCTAGATTATATATCATGTTTCTATGTTATTAATATTGTTTATAATGTCATATTAGATGAATTGTGATAGATAAATAAGCCGTAGAGATATTAGCGTTATATTGAAGCATAATAAACTCGCCTTCCTCTTGCCTCCTACCTACCTCCGACACCAACAAGAATCAACAAAGGTTAACCCTTTCAGGGTCCAAGGCCCAAATCTGGAGTCACGCACCAGTGTCCAAGAATTTAAAAAAAAAAAATTTGTTATTTTTTCTTATGAAATCGTAGAGAATCTTTTTGTGAAGGTAATAAAACAAAAAGTACGAAATTTGGTGGAAAATTAACGAAATTATGCTCTCGCGAATTTTGATGTGTCAGCGATATTTACGAATCGGCGATTTTGCCGAATTTGACTCCCATTTTAGGCCAATTACATTATTCCAATCAACCAAATTCTTAGCTATTTCACTAGTATTACTTCTATTCTATCGATTGAGCACAAGAAATCGCCAAGTCAACTGTTTCAACTACAAAATAAAGTGATCGGAAATTGTTAATTTGGCCAATTTAACACAAAGTTCAAAATATTCCAATTTCAAATAGGGTCCAGAATGAACAATGTAGGCATTCCTGGCACTAAACTAACATTTCCTCTGTTCATTAGTTATGTTTTGAGGCTTTACAAATAAATTCCATTTTGATTTTTTATTCACATAATGAATTTTTATTCACACCAAAAAATAGAAGATTTACTGTTATGCAATACTGTAATAATTGTATAAATATCATCACCATATTTGTGAATGTATATTAGACCCACCAGCTGACGTGTATTAGACTTGTGAGGTCGTTTGTTTACTCTTGAATATCGGCAAAAATTTAACATTTCCGCTACTTTGAGCTCAGTTTCAAGCCATTTCCAGTGCTAAACCCAATCAAAATCATCTCTATTTCTGTAATATGTCTTCCATTCTATCAAATGAGACCAAGAAATCGCAAATACAACTATAAAAAAACATACGAAAAAACACTGCAAAGTTGCTGTTTTAATCGAAAAATCATGATTTCATTTTTTTTCTCTCATTATACACAGTGTGCTGCAGGATCTGTTTTATGTGGTGCACACATACCACATAGATGTATTCTCTCATATCTAGGCCCAAATGTACCACTCACAGTTTATCAGAGTGAGCTGAGCTCATGGCGTAGATCTACGGTTTGGACCCTGAACGTAAAGCCGTAGATCTACGGGACGGACCCTGAAAGGGTTAAGTGTGATGTTAAATGTTCATTTATCCATTTTATTAGTGCTTTGTATATATTTGTCATTGTTTTTTGTATGTAAATCTATATTTAATCTTTAAAAAAATAATTTTTTTGTTAATACTTTTGACTGTCTGAAATGGATTAATTGGGTTTCCATTATTTCTTATAGGGAAAATAGATTCGCCAATCGTGAATTTCGCCAGTCGGCAGACTCTCTGGAACGGATTAATTATGAAACTCGGGGGTCCACTGTATTTAACTGTTTCACTCTTGCAACCCCCAAATTAAGCATGCTGACAATGTACTGATATTTCAAAAAGAAAAAAATGTAAATGGTAGATCATCTTTTTCTGAAGGTAATGATACCAAAAACTCTAAATGAAAGAAAACATGAATTATGCAAGTGCCGAGTTGGAGGTCTGGGTGCAATGTACACATTGGTGATTTTGCTGACTTGGAGTCCTATTTTAAGCCAATTTGACTGTTTCTAGCTGTTCTATAAGCTGTTGATAAGAACAGGAAACCACCCATTCAACCATCAGAACTGTCTTATAATATAGTGGACCCCAGGATTACATAATTAATCCGTTCCAGAGAGAGTGACTTGTCCCGAATCTGACTTATTCCAAATTAATTTTCCCCATAAGAAATAATGGAAATCCAATTAATCGTTTCAGACACCCAAAAGTATTAAAAAATTGTTTTCTACATGAAATATACATTTACCTACAGAGAAAACAGTGATACATGAAGAATAAAACAATAATAACATCACACTTACCTTTATTGAAGACATGGTGATGTATGGAAGATGGGAGGAGGGGAGAGGATGGAGGAGTTTAAAATTGTTTGGAAGAGGAATCCCCTTCCATAAAGACTTCAGGTACCAAGTCCTTATCCTGGATTACTTCCCTCCTTTGTTTTTTAATGTCACTAGGACCAGTTTGAGAGTCACTGGACCCCTGTCACTCAAAAAAGTGTTTCAGAGAGGTCTGTTTCTGGCGTATGTTAGGAATTGTGTTGGGAGACAGGACAAGATAGTCCTTCAATATGACACTAATATCAGCTCTACGGCTTATTTATCTAGCGCAATTCATCTAATATGACATAATAAACAATATTAATAACGTAGAAACATGATATATATACTCTAGAATGAATAAAATATGGCATTAAGAATGTCATGACTGGTAGTGTGTTGTTTGTTGGGTGTATAAGGGCCACAGAAAGATAATCCTTACATGGTGGTGAAGGCAGCAGCAGAGGTGGCAGTGTTAGTCAGTAGCCTTATATATACCTCCAACAGCAGTGGAGGAGTCAGTTTCGTGCTGTCCTTTTTCTATCGATTAATCGCTTAACTTACTTGCTTTGCTGCTAATGCTACACTTTATCGCTGGCTGGCGCTATTGCCTTTATCGACTCCTGCTGCTTTAGTATTGTACATATTGCAGAATCACTGAAAAAGGCATATTCTCCTCTGTCTGTCAGCCCTTTACCAAAGGGCTGGCTGGCACTAGAAGCTTTCTTTGGGCCCATGGTGACTTATTTATCAGTTACAAACACTAAAAAGAATGGAATAATACAAAATGTATCGTATGAACGCGTAGGATCGTCCTCACTAGCTGGTAAACAATGGCACACTGGGCCGCTTAGGCCCGAAACAAATGACTTATACTGAGTTCAGTGACGTTCACCAAGCCAATATGTATTTTGACGCAAAAATGTTACTTATTCCGATGACGTCTTAATCCGGGGGTCCACTGTATGCACAGAAGTTAGTAATTTGGCCAATTTTACTCAAAATTAAAAATCCATTTTAAATAGTCAAATACATGTATAAACACTGTAGGCATTCCAGCTACTACACTGAAGAAATCTTTCATCTGTTCATTAATCATGTCCTCAGGTCTCCTGTATTATGCTTGCCCTCCATTTTGAATTCATCATAAAAAAAAAGTTTTTACCTTATTTCTCAGATAATATAATATAATTAAGAATGATTGATTGGTCATGGTTAGGGCATCCCAGGAGTTGAAGCAAACCTAGTAAAAACCTATAAGACAGACTGGGGAAGGGCCAGTGGGTACTCCTACCCTTTCTCGAGAAAATCTTTAAAAACTGGATATTTCTGATATCACTACTTAAGTAGGATGGCTTTCATTCTATCAGTTGATACCAAGAAAGAGCCATAAAAACCATCCTGAATACCTCAGGTTGCTATTTGAAACCAAAAGCTAGTTCAGAGGTTTTCTCTTCCCATAATGCGCTGAAAGGGTAAGGATTTTTTTATATTGTGTGCATTCACTGCGTAGACCCATTCTCTCATGTCTAGGCCAAGATTTACAGCTTGCAGCTTATTTGAGGGAGCTGAGTGTGAGTGATACTGGCATCAGTGACGTAGATCTGTGTGAAAGACGGTGAGAAGGTTAAAAATTCTGCTTGTGTATTTATTTATATGGTGATTTTGGAAAAGCTGACGTGAATTTTTGCTCACCAGATACATCATTATATTTTTCTTGAATGGTTAAGCATCATATTAACCCTTTTAGGGTTGCGACCCCTGCTTGCAAACTTGCTCTCAGGGTTGGAGAATTTTCAAAAAAAAAAAAGTTAAATGATAGTCAATCTTTTTCCATAGGTAATGAAACCACGAGTATGAAATTTGATGGAAAACTTGCGGAATTATGCTCTCGCAAAATAAGTGGTCTTGGTGATATTTACGCATTGGTGATTTCTCCCACTTTGAGCCCTATTTTGGGTCAACTCCATTGTTCCAGTCAACCAAACTCACAGCTATTTTGCTAATACTCCTTTTATTCTATCGACTGAATACAAGAAACCGCCCATTTACCTATTTCAGCTAATAAAGTGACGAGAAATTGGTAATTTGGCCAATTTCACACAAAATTCAGGAAAGGCCAATTTCAAACTAGGGTCCAGAATAAACTGTGCAGGCATTCCTGGCACTAAAATAACATTTTCTCTGTTCGTTAGTCATGTCTCCAGGCCCCTCTTATATTACGCTTGCTCTCCATTTTGAATTTTTATTCACACAGAAAAATAGATGCTTTACTGTTATGCAGACTACTACATTATTGTAATACAGCCTCTCCTCACTTAGTGACGTACTCATTTACCGACGCCTCAGACTTACAGTGGGCTCTCTGACCAGTATTTATACCTAAATAATGTATATTAGAGCTGATTCCCTCTATTCTGTTTATTTCAATACGCAGTACACTACTGTATAAACATTTAAAAATATACCAGAAATGTTATAAAGGGTGCAAAGGTAACATTAAAACAATATCAAAGATGGTTGACACAAACCCACTACCATTATAGTATGCTCCTCACTTAATGATGAATTCGTTTAATGACGTTGGTCTTAGGAATGGAACTCTGTCGTTAAGTGAGGAGAGGTTGTCATTGTATAAATATCAGCACATTTGTGAACGCATATTAGACCCACCAGTTGATGTGTATTGGACGTGTGACGTGATTTGTTTACTCTTGAACATCAGTGAAAATTGAGCATTTCCACTATTTTGAGCTTAATATCAAGCTACTGTCAGTCCTGAAACCAATCAAAATCATCTCTATTTCCATTCTTCCAAATGAGACCAAGAAAATGAGAATACCACCGTAAAAACCACATGAAAATACACTGCAGAATCACTGCTGTAAACAAAAAATACAGTTGTAGTTTTTTTCTCATTAGGCACTGTGTGGTGCAGGATTTTGTTTTATATACTTACAGCATAGACCTATTCTCTCATATTTAGGCCCAGATTATCTGAGTGAGCTGAGCTCATAGCGCCATGTTACGGGACTGACACTGGCTTCAAAGCCATGATATAACAGGACCGATGCCAAAAGGGTTGAGAGGTTACGCAGCATGGGAGCATCCAATCTTTTATGCATAATGGAAACTGTTGGTTCATATTAGTGAGAAGGTTAAGGTGTATACTGTATTTGAATTTGTTCAGTATAGTTGCTCTGTATCTCTGATTAGATTGATATTGAGTAGTTTTGGTAATGAGAAGCTGGTGATTTGCCAAATGTAAATATATTGAACAGGTTGTAATAAATAGATAATGGAATATTATTGAAAATACAGTAGTTGGTACTATGAGTGTTAACATGGCTAAAGCTACATACAGTCCATTATTTTTATTACTTTAGACAAATAAGTAATCTTTAATTTGCCCAGGAGAACAAGTAGCTTTAAAAAGTGTTCATTCATTTTACCAATCGCATATTTTCTAAATACATGAAGGTTTCTAAGCCTTCTATGTTTCCATGCTCATCTTTGCCAAAAGAGTGCTGACAACAGTGTTCAGGTGACCCTCTGAACTACAACATTCCCACATTTCTTCAAAATATAGTCACTGTGCTTCCCACCTCCTGGACTCAAGACTGGCTAACTGGACTTGAGTCACTTCTGTATGTTTTTGTTATTCATATGATTGCTCATTTTTATTTCTGTTTGTTTATCTTGTATGTTTAATTTTTTGATACACTATTTACATAGGGTCTGTTGAAAGGAAACCCAGCAAGAAGTCATCTCATAAAATTTAATGGATATTCATACAACAGCCTTCGAGCAGTTATAGACTTCATGTATAATGGTAAGTTTTCATTAAGTTCACCTGCAGTAATTTAATGAAATCTGTGAAATGTGTTTAGTTTAATATTTAAGAGGAATTACAGTGGAACCTCGGTTTTCATATGCCCTAATTTTCGTGGGATTCGGTTGTCGATGACTTTTATTGTCAGAATTTTGCCCCAGTTTTCGTATATCCACTCCGTAGAGCTAAAAATGGTCTGTACCAAACTTGTCCGCCTGCTCGCATGACTTGGTCACTCAAGCGCCTACACAAAGCATCCCATGTGTTCGTGACTGTCTGCCTTTGTTTCTCGTTGAGTGAGCATTAACTCGTTCATTCATCCAAACATTTCATAATATTCCATTGTTTTTTGTGCTCGTTTATTGGGTGCGACTATTAAATAAGCCACCATGGGACCAAAGAAAGTTCTGAGTGTCAGCTCTTTGATAAAGAAGGCAAGAAACACGATATAATTCAATAAAGAACTCGTAGCAAAGTATGAAAGTTGCGTACGCGTGGCCAATCTCGCCAGGATGTATGGCAGAATGTGCCTTCTTCAGTGATTAACCCTTTCAGGGTCAAGAGACCCTCTCCTAAACTTGTTCTCAGGGTCAAAAATTTTGTTGGAAATTTTTTTTTATGAAAAGATAGAGAGTCTTTCCCCAATCATAATGACACCAAAAGTATGAAATTTGATGAAAAACTTACGGAATTATGTTGTCGCGAAGTTAGCGGTCTCGACGATATTTACGCATTGGCAATTTCGCCCACTTTGAGCCCTATTTTCGGCCAATTCCAGTGTACTAGTTGAGAAAAATCATAACTATTTCACTAGAACTCCATTTTTTTCTATCGAATGAATACAAGAAACCACCCATTTACCGATTTCAACTATCCAATAAAGTGGTCAGAAATTAGCAATTTTGCCAATTTCACACAAATTTCAAAAGATGCCAATTTCCAAATAGGGTCCAGAATAAACAAGACAGACATTCCTGGCACTAAAATAACATTTCCTCTGTTCATTAGTCACGTTCCCAGGCCCCTCTTACATTTCTTTTGCTTACCACTTTGAATTTTTATTCTCAAAAAAAAAAATAGAAGATTTACTGTTATGCAGACTACTGTATTAGTGTAGAAATGGTATAAATAATATCAGCGCACTTGTGAAAGAATATTAGACTCGCCAGTTGACGTGTATTGGACGTGTGGCATGATTTGTTTACTTTTGAACTTTGGCAAATATCGAACATTTATGCTACTTTGAGCTCAATTTCAAAGTTCTTTTCATTGTGAAACCAATCAAAATCATCTTAATTTCTGTAATATGTCTTCCATTCTATAAAATGAGACCAGGAAAACTAGAATACAACCATAAATGCCATACAAAAATACAACGCAAAGTCGCTGTTTTAAACCAAAAACACTGTCAAAGTGTTTTTTCTCATTACGCACTGTGTGCTGCAGGATTTTTTTATACTGCGCACACTGACCACACAGACCCATTCTTTCATATGTATGTCTACCAGCTCTCTCTTGTTAGATTTGAAGGCGCTAGAATTTAGGCGTACTAGTACAGTAGGGCCCCACTTATACGGCAGGTTAGGTTCCAGGCTGTCGCCGGAAAGCAGACATCGCCAGAAGGCAGAACTCCATTTTTTCCATTTATAAATGCATATAAATGCCAGACAACAAGTTTACACTAAATTATATTAAGTTAGTAATAGAACTAGGCATTAAAAACACACAAAGTAAAATACAGTCACAGTAAATTCATTACTTATCTTAAAGTATTTGTAATCTTAATGTAGGGAGAGAGGTGAGTAGTACTCATTTGTAGGAAGTCAGGTGCAGGTAGCCCAGGTGTAGGTAGCACTGGCTCCCCGTCTCATACTTAATATTAAAACATCCCAGAGAAGTAAAATGCACATACAGTACACTCATTATTTACCTTAAAATATATGTAGTTTTAATATAGGAAGAGAGGTGAGTAGTACTTATTTGTATAAAGTCAGTGTAGGTAGCCCGTAGGTGTAGCCGGTAGGTGTAACCTGGGCTACACCTACCGGCTACCTACACTGTGGCCCAGAGCCATATTATTAACATCGACATGCCTTGTTCACTGAATTTAATCATTTCTAACAACTACCTTTAGATGCCATCATAAATGAAGGTAGAAGTAATGAATAATTCATGCCAAAAATTGTAAACAAAAGCGGAGTGGGGGAGTGGCTGGGCCAAACGCAAATTCATACACGTTTTCTCTGATGGCTGAACAGAGAAAACGTAATGTTGTCCCTCCACCCAGCTCCACAAGTATTATTATCAGAGCATATAAAATATGCAATAAATGCCAGACAACAAGTTTACACTTACTTATATTAAGTTAGCAATAGAAATAGGCATTAAAAACACAATAAAAGGTAAGATACACACAGAGTACACTTATTACTTACCTTAAAATATTAATATTAATGTGTGAGAGGTGAGTGGCAGGGTGTTTATTGAATAAATCAGAATGGCACACCATCATCCTCTAACTTGGCACTTAAAGCAAGAGGCTTATGACTTCTCTTTTTATTACAGCTAACCATAGACGCCATCGTCAATGAGAGCCAACTAGTTAACGAAAGAGTTGAGACAATGTAAGAACACAAACTGAACAGGTAGTGGACGATCACTTGGTCAGGCGAAATAAATGCGTATTAATGCGTGTCTACTTTTAGTTCATTCACGTCCATTTGTAAGAGTTTGTAAAACATTTACCTCAATATTTTTTTATTTTAATAATAATTACCTCACAATACAAATACTCTTACATTGTGTACAAGTTAGTTCAGAATAAACAAACAGCAACACATCATTTTTAGAGTTTTTTTTTTTTTTATTTGCCGGTATTCTCCCGGCCCGGGTCTTTTCCAGGTAGTGGTGACCCGGCCTTGGCTTTTTAGAGTGAATGAAGATAATATTAATAATAATAATATTATTATTATTAATATTAATAATAATATATATTATTATTATTATTATTATTATTATTATTATTATTATTATTATTATGAATTATAAAAAGCACTAAACCCACAAGGGTCATGAATTGCTATACATAAAGGCATACGAAAAGAATATTTTTCTACAGTTACCCCCAGTGTTTGACTAGAAAAAACGTAATTCTTCCGACACCACCTACACAGCTGCTCTGTAAACAAATCACATATTTACATCAATTTTTATTCTGAGTGTATATATCATGTTTTTATGCTATGTAATGGGTTTCATATATAATTTTGAGGAAAATATCATAGATGGATTAATGAAAATGCCTATATTGATGTAAAATAAAACATTTAGTGTGCCCAAGAGTGATTATTATTACGTAGTATTGGCGTCATGAGTAGAGAGAGACTTAGCGATTTTAATGTGTACCTGCACACCAGCACAGTGTGTAAGTATATTTAGGTACAGGTACACATAAGTATAATTATCAGAGTACATATAAAATATGCAGTAACTTTAAAACACTTGAAATTTTGGAAAGTTTCCTGACATAATAGATGTGGTCACGGAAAATGTAAACAAACCGGGTGGGGGGTGCCGTATTTAAAAGACCGCTTGCCGTATAGCAAATTTTGGTCATAATTTGACATTGCCGTATTAGCGGAATGCCGTAAGGCGAAACGCCATAAAGCGGGGCCTTACTGTACGTCAACCCTGGTGCGTAATCCGTACTAGTACATCGGAAACCCTGAAAGTGTTAAGAACGTGTGCAAAATGGAGTGAGCTGCAAAGTTTTGTGGAGAAATATCACCTTAATAAAGCTGTTGCAAGCCGTGTCTGCAACGTCTTCAGTGACAATGCCTTGTCCCATTTTAGGCAAATCTTAGAGACGCCAGAAACAAACCTCTCTGGACAGATTTTTTGTGCGACAGGGGTCCAGTGACCCTCAAGCTGGTCCTAGTGCCAGTAAAAGACAAAGAAGGGAAGTAACCCCAGATAGGGCCTTGATACCTGAATTCGTTACAATAACCTCTCCTCCTCCCTCTCCCCTCCTTGCCATCTTCCATACGCCAACAAGTATTCAATAAAGGTAAAAGTGATGTTAAATGTTCATTTATCCATTATATTAGTCATTTAAATTTATTTCTCATTGTTCCTATGTAAAACTATAGTTATTCTCAATAAATATATTTTTTGCTAATATTTTTGGGTGTCTGGAATGGATTAATTGGATTTACATTTTCTCTTATGGGAAATATTGTTTCAGTTTTCATTTGATTCGGTTTTCGTCAGACTTTTTCGAACAGATTAATCATGAAAACTGAGGTTACAAATGCAAAGTTCTAAATGTTGGACAGGTAAATAACCATGCCACATATAAACTAAATAATGTAGATCTTAATACTACTGATTGCGAAAAGGATTTAGGAGTTCTGGTTATCAGTAATCTAAAACCAAGACAACAGTGCATTAGTGCTCGCAATAAAGCTAACAGAATTCTTGGCTTCATATCTAGAAGTATAAATAATAGAAGTCCTCAGGTTGTTCTTCAACTCTATATATCCTTGGTTAGGCCTCATTTAGACTATGCTGCTCAGTTCTGGTCACCGTATTACAGAATGGATATACTAAATGCTCTGGAAAACGTACAGAGGAGGATGACAAAGATGATCCCATGTATCAGAAATCTTCCCTATGAGGATAGACTGAGGGCCCTGAGTCTGCACTCTCTTGAAATGCGTAGATTTAGAGGGGATATGATCGAGGTGTATAAATGGAAAACAGGAATAAATAAAGGGGATGTAAATAGCGTGCTGAAAATTTCCAGCCAAGACAGGACTCGCAGCAATGGTTTCAAGTTGGAAAAATTCAGATTCAGGAAGGATATAGGAAAGCACTGGTTTGGTAATAGAGTTGTGGATGAGTGGAACAAACTCCCGAGTACAGTTATTGAGGCTAAAACATTGTGTAGTTTTAAAAATAGGTTAGATAATTACATGCGTGGGTGTGGGTGGGTGTGAGTT